CCCCCCTTTTTTCACTCCCTTCCCCTTTCTCTCAAGAAAAATGTCCAACCAAGAAGTTTCATAAAAATTTTCGCTAAACCCCCTAATTATCAAAAAAATTCATAATTATCGAAATCGTGACCCAAAAAATACAAAAAAATCTCCCCTGATCCTCGAATTAATCAAGAATTGTACCTTGATTTAGGAGGAAAAAATCATGAAGTTTCAGATTTCACTGAAAATTCAATGTAATTCGCCACTGAATATTCATATTAGATTCGAAATTCAAATAAATTGAGGAATTCTCGTCGTTATGCTGTTTAAAATTCTAAAATTTTATTGAATTTTCAGTGAAACCTGAAATGTCACGATTTTTTCCCCCTAAACAGCATTCAGTGCCACTGTCCTGAAAAAAATTAATCAACTGTCCATGGAATTCAATTTTTTTTTTCAACAGTGCAAGATATTTTGCTCCTGAAAATGTTCAAGCCCCAAGTTTCTTGGGGCTTCACAACAAGTAAAGTCGTACTTCTAAAAAAACTTTGTTTTTCTCAGTGCACCCGAAGAAAATTGTAAATACTTCCCTCATGCAAGAAAGCTCATGGAGTTAGCTTCATTCCCCGCGGGATCTCTGCCAACGTTAGCTCTATAGCATAGAAATGTATTTAGGTAGATACACGAAGCGCAACTAATTTTAGCGACTGCTGACCCGCACCGTAAGCACACCCGTATAAAATGCTTCCGATTATATTATTTTTAGACATTCAGTCTCTTGTCCGTGTGCGACTGTTGATCCACCAATTACACGGGCAGTCTTCACGAATGGAGGGATTTTTCGCCCAGTTCCTCCACCAATTTATGCTTATTCTACTCAACATCTCGGTTGAAATGTAAAGAGCCTGACGATAGCAAAAATCAACACGTAAGAGGTGATTTTTCACGGGGGTAAACGGGCGAAAGCACTTTTAACTTGTTTAAAAATATCGCGATTCTCGCCAGGGACCAGGCGAGCAAGGCACGTGGCAATGAACAATTTTCGATATATGTTTGGTATCACCCAGACATTCGGTGAAATTTCGCCAAAGGTCATTGACACAGAGAGATCGAAGGACAGGGACTATCGAATGGGATTCAGTGCCTGAGAATTGAATGTTCAGTGATTTTGTGGATTAGTAGATGCACGAGCCACTGACCGAAATAGTATTGAAATTTATTTGGGTCATGTGGGCTCTATAAGGTGAGCAACAAGTGAGGGTTTTACCGAAATTCAAGGACAGAAATAATGACGTGTGAGTAATCATTAGAATGGAGGAAATATTCAAATGTTAGCGGACACTCAATCAATTCTTCTCGCAATTTCTTCAATTTCATTCAGCGATAAACTTCATTAACTGAAGTTCAGATGACTATAAACTCGGGAGAGGTAAAAATGGGGGTCTCTTACCCGGCAAATGTTGCTGAGCTCATGATGTTATCCTAGAATCGATCGAAAAATCCTCGGAGAACTGATTGTTTTTACGTACTTATCTTTTTTATTCTTAATTATCAGTCCTTCGGTCTTTAGTCAGTAACTGGCATACAACGATGCCGACACTGAGGCGCGTCCGTCGCAACTGACGATGACTCGCTGCCGGCCCAGAGAAACAGCTATGAGCTGTGCAACAACACACGTACGAAAAGGATTCAGGGAGGTGAGTTTGCGTGGACCCCAGCCACGCAGTTTTCTTCGCATTGGCTATTGTTATAGAGGGCTGATGATGGAAGGCTAGCATTGATGAGGAGGTATTTTTTTAAATTGTACGCTTCCGGACACAGTGGATTTTACTCCAGGAGACTAAAACTTCTAGGGTATTTGGGGGAAGCTGGCGGAGTTCTTGAAGATGACGCTCTATTGCATTTGAATTATTTCAATTTTGGGAGATCAAAACAGTTTTTAGTTCAATGAATGCAAACAATTGATGGTGAATGATTGCATTTTTAATTCTTTTAGTTCAATATTTTTGTTTCTAACTTTTCTGAATTTAAATCACATTTTTGCAACTGGAGGGAAAATTTTTGACGTCTTCTAAAATGATTTTTTCACGTGTGAAAATTTTTGTAAAGAAAGGTTTTTAGATTATATTTTCTTATACGTCGCATTAATCGTATTCCTTATTCGCTAATTTTTTTTAATTCTTAGATTTTTCGATTTTTCAAACATAATCTTGATGAGGTATTATTTTAAAAAATCTTACTCTTTCGACCGCGGCAGATGTGGAACAGTGGATTTTACTCCAGGAGACTCAAATTTCTAGTGTATTTAGGGAAGTTAGCGGATTTCTCGAAGATGACGCTCTATTGCATTTGAATTATTTCAATTTTGGGAGATCAACACATTTTTTAATTCAATGAATGCAAACAATTGATGGTGAATGATTGCATTTTTAATTTTTTTAGTTCAATATTTTTGTTTCTAACTTTTCTGAATTTAAATCACATTTTTGCAACTGGAGGGAGAATTTTTGACGTCTTCTAAAATGATTTTTTCACGTGTGAACAATGTTGTAAAGAAAGGTTTTTAGATTATATTTTCTTATACGTCGCATTAATCGTATTCCTTATGCCCTAATTTTTTTTAATTCTTAGATTTTTCGATTTTTCAAACATAATCTTGATGAGGTATTATTTTAAAAAATCTTACTCTTTCGACCGCGACAGATGTGGAACAGTGGATTTTACTCCAGGAGACTCAAATTTCTAGTGTATTTAGGGAAGTTAGCGGATTTCTCGAAGATGACGCTCTATTGCATTTGAATTATTTCAATTTTGGGAGATCAACACATTTTTTAATTCAATGAATGCAAACAATTGATGGTGAATGATTGCATTTTTAATTTTTTAGTTCAATCTTTCCATTTCAAACTTTTCTGAATGTAAATCACATTTTTTGGGCAATTTCAGCAACTGGAGGAAGAATTTTTGACATCTTCCAAAATGACTTACTTTACGTGTTAAAAATTTAACTAAAAAAAATTCTCAATTAAATGTTTTCATCGATTAAATTAATCATATTCTTCATTCCTCGTTTTTTCAATTCATAAAATGCAATAGTTTGATGATGACTACCTGAATTCTTAATTCATCTTAAATTCAACTTTAATTTCCACCCTCTTTTGCAAACGTACATTCCCCCATGAAAAAATTCACTGCAGAAATCACAGTCTTTTTTAATTAACCTCCCCACATCTCGAGATAATAACATTCCTCCACCTTTTCTACTATCCAACATCTTCCACTCTCAAAGACATTCGACCTATTTACACATTTAAACGCATACCTCTCCAACTCTCCGCATCAACCACCGATAATACAGAATCCTCTCCAAGAAAACATCCTCACAATTCGAATAAAAATCTTTATTTTCCAATTTTCACAAATTAAAAATTCAACAAGAAAACCCCTCCCCCTTCTCCCTTCCCCTCAATCCTCAGACTCCTTCGATTTCTCGTCTTTCTCAGGATCCTTCTTGGACCCGAACGACCTCGACTGACTGTACGTAAAAAGTTTATCGGCAGGATCATAAGAATAGGAGCACTGCTCCGAATTCCTCCCAGTCTTGGGATCGGTGCACACAGTGCAGGTCATCGAGTCCTTGACGACCTCCCGACACTTGTCGTCAATTTTCCTCTCGCTCACTTGGCTCTCCCCGGGGCTTCTGTCCTCAGAGTCCTCCCTCCCATCAATCCTCCTGATGGCCTTCTTCGGTGTCTTTCCCTTCTTCTCCTTTGACCTGGACTTCCTCGGGGTCTCGAACTTCTTGGATCTGCTGTAGGAGTAAGTCTTGTCATTGGGTTCATACGAATAAGCGCATTTCTCGAAATTTCCCCCAGTGTCAGGATCCTTGCAGACTTGACACGTCATTCCGTCGTCTCTCTTCTCTTCTCGGCACTTGGACTTGGGCGTTTTCTCCGAAAGTCTCTCCGATTTCGAGACATATTCGTCGGAGGCGTCGTCGAAGCTCAGTGAGGGGCTCTTGGATGAAGCCTCTTCGCTGTCATCCTTAGAACTGTAGAAGCCGGAGGTGTAGGGGCTTGACGCCTCCGCCTCTTCGCTCCCTTCGCTCTTCTCGAGACTCTCTTTCCGCGAAGACGGGACGACCCGGGGGGACGACTGGGAGCTCTCGTAGTCCCTCGGAGTATTTCCACTCGATTTGTGGCTGAACGACTTTTCAGATTGGTGAGGCACGTAGGAGCACTGCTCGTACTTGGCGGAGGTCTCCGGGTCCTTGCAGACCATGCAGACCATACTGTCCCTCACGACCTTATCGCAGCCCTCTGGCTTTTGATGCTTCTCCGGGGCGTGGTGGGTCGCCTCCGGGGTGAAGTACTCATCACCGAATCTGAATCCAGGGGATTCCCCGAGAGATGTGGCCTCTTCGAAAGATCCTGATGGGTCGCGGCGCGGGAGCGCGTCGGTGAGGCCCAGCGCGAGGATTAGCGTGCACCAGGGAATCTGTGGAATGATTGAAGGAAGCGTTTTGACAGACTGAATGCACTAAATTCTCGGTACTGTTAACAATTTTCCAGTGGAATTTCAAGGAATTTTGTCATTGAACATCGTAATTTCAGGGAAATTGGATGGGAACTGTAATTTTGAGCGATTTCTGTCCAATTTCATTTTTTTGTTTAATTATTTCGGGGAAATTAACGGAAAATGAGGAGAATTCAGAAAAAGCTGTCTTTGAATTTCAGATTCCAACGATTTTTTATACGGAGAGAAATATTCAGTAAAAATTACGGAACAATTGATGTAATCCGCAATGGGCAATCATTTTCCGGCAATTTTTACAAGAATGGAAGAGAAGAAATCTGAAACTTTGAGTGAATTTTCAGGTTCATCACCGAACAAAGTACGAAATTGTCATGGAATTTTTCTCGAAGAAGTCAAATCTTATAGAAACTTGCCGACTTATTATGCCTCCAAAATCAGAAATTCTTGAAAGTTCAATAATTTTCATGAAGCTGGTGAGTTATTTCTACGTTCCATTCCGTAAAATTTCTCAATCGGGGAAAAATTAGGGAACGACTTGTTGTCCCCACAGCGGTGAGTCATCAGACGAGTGGTTAATTTTTACGGAAAAAATCGTAGAATTTACGTGGCGGTTCATAAAATTTTGTTTCCGACTCACACTTTTTATTGAATTTTACATCGCTCGCGGATTACGTTTTGAGACGTAATTATTACGTTTTTTTTGGTAATTTTTATTGAATTCTTCTCTCCGTGCAGAGAATTCCTTCAAAATTGCTGGAATTTCAACATTTTCCAAGGAATTCCCTGAAAATTCAAGGGAATCTGGTAGTGGACATTCCTTTGTACTTGAAAATTCATGTAGATTGTAGAATTTTCATCTACCTGTCACTAAAAAATTAAAATTTTACTTGAATTTTCAGAGAAACTTGAATTTCCATTGACTGTTTCCACTTAAATCGAATTTAAGGCCTTTTTCCAGAAAATTCGGCCAAATTTTTGCAACAGCGTGGGGTCAAGGTCTGCGGTTTGTAATCGGTTTATACCTTCGTCACAACCATATTTTATGAGACTTGAGGCCTATAATTTTTTTGTCATTCCGGCCATAAGACAGCTTTACGGACGCTACGCGGCTCATATTCGCCCGACAAATTTCTTTCTGAATAATGACGAGATGTACTAATTTATGATTCAAGCCAAGTTACTTTGCGGTATTCGGGGCTATGTGACACTTTTCACCAAAATACAGGGAATATGTGTCAAGAGAAGGGAAAACAATTGATACGTCATTGTAGAATGATCAGGGTTTGGATTTGATGATTCGATGAAAACTGTTAATTTCAGTTCAATTATTCAGTAAGACTTCGGAGAAACTGAGAAAATTCAGGTGAATATATGGAAAGTTCCGCTTCAAAACGATTTAAATTCCCTTGATTTCCACCTGAAACTTGCAATTGCATAAGTCTCGCCCTCCTAATTCGAATTGAATGTCACTCTTCTGAAAATTACCACTAGTGTCCACGAAATTCTATTCCTCTTTCCAACATTGTGACGAAGAGATGAAAACCCTTATGACTGTGATGATTTCCTTAAAGAGTGCAACACAAAATGCTCATTTTTTAACGTTGTGACGAGATGAAAATCCTTACGATGGGATGAGTTACTTAAAGAGTGGAACACTGACCTTGTGAGGAGCCATCTGGACGGTTCGAGTCGGCTCTTGAGTCGATCACTTAACGCTCCAACGAGTGATAAGACACTTCAGCATGAAATGAATGCTTCGGAAGTTGCGGAGTGATTTATATTGACTTCCAGAGTATGAATAGGCGTCGGTCCCCCTCCGTGGCGAGTAAAAGCGACGACGAATCGTGGACAGTGGTCGCATAATTGCCAAATGAACGGGAAAAAGTTGAGGCAAGTGTTGTTGATTACATAGTCTAATCAGTGGTGTTGATTTCATTGGTTCACTTTGGAAATTCTTGTGGGAGTTTTGGATTCACCGAGTTTTGGTGGGAAGAGGAATTTTCTATCGACGTTCATCACACCTGTTCTTTCTAATTAACATTCGAAACAATGGGCGAGTGAAAGCGAGATTTGAGGGAGATCAATGGGCCTATTGTGTAGCACCTGTCATTGTTGTAGGGATTTGGGAATATAGAACGGCAATATCAACAATTCAACACTATAAAATGCCCGGGGACTTTCGTCATCTGTTAATTGTTGTCTCGAAATTGTGATTTTGCGTGGCATTTACGATTTTTGCAAGCAAAAATACAGCAACGAAGTGGTAAAACGATTTAAGGCGACTCTTAGCTGAGTTTTTGAGAAATATCTCCGATTCTAAGGGAGATAGCGAAATTTTTGTATAAATCTTTTTTGTAGCTCTCAATTCGCTCTGCAAACATGGTTATAACAAAAATTTCGTTATCTGCCTTAGATTTCGAGAGATTTATTGAAAACTGACCAATAGTCGAAATCGACTTGAAGCGTTTCAACGTTTCGCTACGGAGTACAACGATTTAACTCATAATTTCGACCTCAATTGCGATTTTTTTTTCGAAATTCAATAAATTGAATTTTATTCTGATATGAACACTGTTGGAAAAAAATTAAATTTCACGAACAGTTGACTACTAATTTTTAGGACAGTGACACTAAATGCGATTTAGCGGAAAAATTATGAAATTTCAGGTTTCACTGAAAATTCAGCAAAATTCCAAAGGATGAAAATTCCTTAATTTATTTGAATTTCCAAGCTAATATGAATATTCAGCGCCAAATTACATTCAGTAGCGAAGTGGTAAAACGGCACAAGTCAATTTTAACTATTGACCAGTTTTCAATGAATTTCGCGGAATCTAAGGGGGATAGCAAAATTTTTGTTATAACCTTTTTTGTAGGGCTGATTAAGTGCTACAACAAATGTTATTATGAAAATTTCGCCATCTCCCTTAAATTCAGAAATATTCGTGAAAAACTCAACTGGGAGATAAGTCGACTTCATCAGTTTTACCAGTTCGCTACTGCATTGAATTTTCAGTGAAATCTGAAATTTCATGATGTTTTTCCCCCTAAATCGCATTCAGAGTCACCGTTCTGAAAATTCAAGAATAGAGTTACCGGAATTGTCTGGAAAATGAAAGTGAAATTTACAGTTCTCTTTAATTTTTCCACGAAATTCTAAATTTTCAATCATAAAATTCCTTGAAACTTCAGTGGTAATTAAATTCGATAAAAATTTCGAAAAAGTGTACCGGAAATTTCAGACAAAAATTTTCAACAGTGAAGAATGAAATGCATTGAATGTGAACTCAAAATTAATCAGAATAAAATGACAAATTCAATTTGCGGTTTGTGAGAAATCGATTTCACTTCTGTTGACAAAAACACGAAAATAGTACGCCCACTGATCACAAACACGGAAGAAGAATGAAATATCGATTGCGAAAACCTGGAAAGTGTTGGTTTTTCCTCCTGTCTTGCATTATTGGTTTCCTTCCCTTTTTATTGGCAAAGAGGAGTCATGTAATTCAGGATAATGAGACGCTCACGAAGAAGTAAATATTTTTATTCTTAATATTATGTATTTTGGTCTCAAGCTTATATAAAACATTTTTAGACTTTTTATACTGAAGTAGCTGTATCACCGAAATTTCCCGTTTTCGAATTTTTCAATTCAATTTTTTTCTGAGAGAAATTTGATACAATCAGGCTTAATGAGTATCATTCGAATCACATTTTACAATACATTGGTATTTTTCGAACATTTTTTCTCATCCATGAATCACTAATGGAATTTGCTTCACAAACGGTCAATTTTTGTCATGAGGTGCAAAAAATTTCTCGTTTTTGACGTTTTAAGAAAGAAAAATAGGTTGTCGACTTTGTTTACAACAAAAATATTCCAAATATTGTTTAGTTTCTCAATAATTTCCCTTTGAAGACCTAAAACGACTGTTAAATTCAGAAAATAAATAAATTTTATTATTTTTCATTGGGTGCCAAACAATAGATTAAATTTTTACTTTCGATAAAAAATAATTTGAATTTTAAACTTTATTTACAACCAAAATATTCCGAATGTCTTTCAATTTTTCATTAATTTTCTTTGAAAAACCAAAACGATTATCGATTTGAGGAACAAATCGAGTTCCCTGGCAGTTTCTTCCAGTTTTCAGTAATCCTGAAATTTCTGAGCCGATAAAGCTACTTTAACAGATAATTTTTCATGTGTTTGTTGATGATTTTATTCTCCACTCATTCACTCCTTGAATGGAAAATTTTTTGGGTAAACAGAGATGTGTGAAATTCGTGCTCTTGGCCCGGTGTGAGGCTTTCCAATGAATGCAATTGTGGGTGCTGGCTTGAAACCGAGTCTTCCCTTTGTGAGTTTATCCTCACCGCTTCGCACGTGCTCACCATTCGCTTCCTTTGATTTGATACCCTCGGCTGCATTTCTCTTGCGATAATATATCACTTCACCTGCCAGTGTTATCATGGCGAGAGCAAGGCCAAACAGAGTTGCGATAAAAACACCACCTGTTGTAAATGTTTCATGGAGTGAAGTTTCAATGCATCATCGATTCAACATTTAAGTTGTGAAACGCAGCAGAAGAGAACAAAACAACATAAGTTGATTGTTCACATATTACAGATGAATATTCATTCATCTGCACGTACGAAAAAATTATATAGGCTTTCCTATAGCACATCCTATAGGATTTTCTATAACGTATCCTATAGGATTTCCTACAGCATATTCTATAGGATTTTCCATAGTGTATTCTATAGGATTTTCTATGGCATATCCTATAGGCTTTTCTCTAGCGTACTCTATAGGATTTCCTACAGCATATTCTATAGGATTTTCCATAGTCTATCCTATAGGATTTCCTATAGCACACCCTATAGGCTTTTCTATAACGTATCCTATAGGATTTCCTACAGCATATTCTAGAGGATTTTCTGTAGCATATTCTATAGGATTTTCCATAGTGTAACCTATAGGATTTTCTATAGCACATCATATAGGATTTTCCATAGTGTATCCTATAAGATTTTATAGCATATTCTATAGGATTTTCTATAGCGCGCCCCATAAGATTCCCTATAGCACATTCTATAGCATTACTCCCTATAGGAAATCCTATATAATATGCTATAGAAAATCTTATAGGAAATCCTATGAAGAATTCGAACATTTTCTATAGGATTTTCTATAGCATATCTTATAGGATTCCTCATCAGGTTTTTCCTATTGTATTTCTTATAGGATTTCATGAGATTTTCAATAGGATTTTCTATAAAATTTAGGAGCATAAGGGTCACAAAGAGGATTAAAAGTGTCATATGGAAATCATATAAGGGTCATATAGGGGTTACATGGGAGTTATATAGGGATTATATGGAGGTCAGATGAAGGTCATTTGATCCTCATATGACCCCTCCATATGAGCCTCCTATAACCTCCATATCACCTCCATATGAGCCTTATAAGACCCCATATGACCCTCGCGACTCTAAATTTCATAGGAAATCCATTAAAAATCTTATAGGATATCCTATAGGAACTCCTATCAGACATCCTGTAGAGAATCCAATATGGAAAACCTGATAGGGAATCCTACATAGAAAACATTCGAATTCTCCATAGAATTTTGTCATACGTGTCCATAAAAAAAAATTAAAATTGCGTATTGAACCCCAATTTCCAATTTTCTCGGCTACAAAAAAGATCTTCAGACATTTTGGTAACGGAAAAAAAATTACGAACTTACAACTACACTACTGAATTATTCTTATCGATTTCCACTCATTGCATCTTACCTAATGACTCCAGTGTTATTCCTTCATTCTCATCGGCAACGGAACATGTTCCCTTCAATGAAGCATTCCAATACGTCGCCGAAAGAGTCTCAAAGTATCTGTCTTTCTGTAGATCTAGAATTCTGAGCGAAAAACCCACCGCAAAATTGAATAAATAATGATTTATCAATTTGATAATTATTAACAACACATTTTTTTTTCAATTTTGAGCGGACTTAATTCAATTACTTTCGGCTTATCTCTTCCTGAAGATGACTCCCCTGCTGCACAGCCACTGCGTAAGGCTGCTCGGAAAATACTTCCCCGATTTCGGTTAAATTGCAACTCCTCGTCACCTCGTATTTGATCTCTGACGAGTCGTGGATGAATGCGAATTCTGCTTTTTCACTCTCAATCACCTGGAAAGGTTACGATCGGGATCATAATTCCATGGAAATTGATCCGGTTGGACGACTGATATTCACCTTTCGAAAGCCCTCCTTCGAGTCTTTCACTGGTCCAACTGTATTAATTGATTGCAGAATATGACCATATTGCTCCTTTATGGGATAATCCCAGACTCGATACTCTACCTGATCACTAGTACTATTTAAAGTAATTTCTTTCCATACACTGAAAATTAAAAAAATATGTTGAATATTGCATTTCCAGGTGTTTTGACCCTTATGTTCTGACACTTAGTGCCTCAATTTTTTTTTTCTTGTGTATTCAATTCCGGTATATTTTTTGTGTGCACGCACAAAAAAATTTAATAGAAAAACCTATCGAATTCGTTAGAAAATTCTATTGAATTTCCATTAAACTTTCTATTTGTTTTTGGCTGATTCTATTGACATGTTCAATAGAAAACATTCAATAGAAAAAGTCAACAGAATTCGATTTTTCTATTTAAATTATTCTTTTCATATATTTTCTATAGACTTTGCTCGACTCAAATTTTCAAAGTTTTCTTCATTCTATTTTTCTTTTCTTCTCATCAAGAAAATCAAACGAAAAAACTTGGAAAATTTGAGCCGAGGAAATTCTACAAAAAATATCTCGATAGAATAAGTTATATAGAGAAATTGAATTCTATTAACTTGTCCTACAGAATATTTTCTATTGAACATTTCAATAGAATCGGCCAAAAACTAATAGAACAGTTGAATAGAAATTCAATAGAATTCTCTAACGAATTCGATAGATTTTTCTATGAAATTTTTTCGTCCGTGTGTTCATCGAACATGAAAAAACATGTTAATTATTTGATTATTTCCCTCGTATAAAAATTCGAAAGGTCGAAAAATAGCATCCTGTTCTTCATGTAATTTATACCTTAAGAACATCTAAGGTTTGACCGACTAAAATAGCCCTGGGAATAATACAGAATATGAAAAAATCCGTTTTTTAGAAAATAGATAAACATCCCCAACACGGAAAGTCACTTAGAGCGCAAGGAATGCCTACTCACTTATAAAGTTTATCCTCCGCGTTTTTCATGTTCTGAAAATACTGATGAGTAGTGGAATTAGCGACCACAGTGTAATTAATTCTCGACTGTCTCGCCAGTTGCTCCAGTGATTGCACTTGAGCCTGAAACGAATCAATTAATAAATCACGCGCGATAACGATCTCCCATTATCCCACAACAATATAATAGAGATACTCCCGAAAATTTGCGGAACCAGTCTCAGGTATAAACCTATCGTCTTTAATTAGAGGAATGAATAAGCAACATTCTCGATACGTGAGGTGTCATACCTGCATTCTCTCCACGGTGAGAAAGGCCGCTAGATTTGCGGTAAAAGTGGCGAGCATGAGAACAACGAAGAGCCAGTAAGCGGCTACGAGAGTTCTCGAGGAGAGGGCTTTAGGGGCCTCGCCACCCCCTTGGGGTGTGAACGACGTCAGGGCGAACCAGAAGCTCTCCTTCAGGGTAAACTCTCTAATGCATTCATCATTTTAATCAAGTTAAAGTATTACCTAATTACGGAACATTTGCATAAATATGCATATTTGCTGGGGATAAAATACTATCCGATTTTACGTGTTATCAATTTTATAGAAAAAAATTTAACTCAATTTTTGGCATCAGGACTCGATGAAAAATTGAACAGAAAAATCTAGTGTTTTCTCTACTAAATTCGATTGGAATTCTATCCAGGTATAGCCGTATTCATAAATTAGAATTACCGTTAAAACTTGAAGTAGTGAGTTTGTTAATATCACTTTAAAAATGTTCAATTATTAAAGTAATTATACATTTAAATATTCAAATTCAGAATTATTTCATCAATGAATAATTTAGTTAGGACGATTGACGATTATTTGGTTAATCGAAAATCCCTTGTACGAAATTTAGTATTATTTACTTAATAGAAGATTTAGATTATCACTCATTTTACTATTTTTTAATTTCGATAAGTATATTTAAACCTTAATCAATGTAAGTCGCAAATTCTGTTCATATTGAATAATTCTATGATTGATGGCCATTCCTGATTATATCACAATCCCACTGAAATGTCCTGAATAGCTATATTCGTGTTTCGGAAATTAAGGACGTTTGCAATGCGTTTTTCAGTTGATATTTTCGATTTTAAAAAAGTCAACAGATGTTGATTATTTTGTTCTTGATTTTTGAAAATGAAAGATAGAAAAAATAGAAAATTTATACCCTAGAATTTCTATGGAAAAACGCTCAAGAGGATCATTCACCGGACAAAACTATTAACTTTAAAAAAACATAAAAAGTTCACTGACTTTCAATTAAATTTTCGCATCCGTAGATGGATACAAAATCATTGTCATAAAATAAATGGATGAATTTCTTCCGTTTTAGCCCACAATATTGACTATTCCATTCATGATAATCCTTAAATGAATGGAGATCACCTGCAGGGATAGGGATAAATCCTCTTATTATTCCTGGCACTGTACGGTGAGTATTTATCCAATATCCAGATCATAATAGCCGTCAGGGTGAGAGCCCCCACGATGCTCAGCCATACCTCGACCCTCAGAACAGTCATGAATTTGAAGAGAGATGTCTCCCTCACAGGTTTCCTCATTACTATGAGAATCCCAGACTGCTCGAAGTAAGGGGCAACGAAGTCTATGACCTCCTCTCGCTCGGAGGTCATCGTTAGAGCACCAATGGCAATGTCAGTCTCCTGTGGAGAGGAACAACTCCATGATCTGATGACTCGATTGATGTCATACAACTAATGAACTTCGTCGTTATTTGTAACAAGGTAGCATCGAGTATAGAAAGTTATATATGCGGGCATTACGCGAACAAATATTATGCAAATGTATGTCAATATGCACACCCACACGGAGCGAGAAAGATTGAGAGTACCATAGCATTGAAACACATAAACTGACTTTTTCTCTTATACTGTTGACATTTTTGGCTGAAATTTTCGATACGGTTTTTGGAAATTTTTATAATGTTTCAGTTGTACTGAAATTTCAAGACATTTGACGAATTTCGTGGAAAAATCAATGAGAACTGTAAATTTCAGATCAATTATCCCCTGGAAATGAGGAGAAATTAGGAAAATTTCCACTCTTCAAAATCGCCAACGGGCGCATAAATATTCGAATTTTAAATAAGACACTGCACTCGATGAAAAAAAAGGGAAAGATTAAGTTATGCACCTAATATATTCTTGAATTTCCAATTAATTGAAAACTCACCGGATTTTGACACTGAATATTCACGATTTTAGGGAAAATTCTAATTCAATGAAAGGAATTCTTATCTCAATGCTGCTGAAAAATTTGGAATTTCATTTCATTTTCAGTGAAGCCTGAAATCTCATAATTTTTTTCCAACAGTGAAAAAAATTCACAATGTGAATTTCGTGGGAATTTCGTTAAAAACATATAAATAAATGATAAAGTTCATTGAATATATCTCAAAATATACACAGAGAAGGAACACCAGAATTAATGAAGATAATTTGAAGAGACAAGGATGCCAATTTGAAAACCTTAAGATTTTTATTTTAAACACCCCAGACTTCTTCGTTGCAGCACTCGACGGTGCTTATTTTAAGAACTCAAAATACTGGATTTTCAGTTAAAATCACTGAGAAATTTCACTGGAATTTAGTACTTCTTGTCTCCGGAAGCTAGATACTTTTTTTCTCTGCGTAGAAAGTGGAAAATTCGCTCAGATGAATTAAAAAAATACGATGTGAGGGAATCGTTCTCAATTGCATCACCAATTTTTTTCATATTTGCAAATTTATTGGAGACTTCCCTCAACCAATTTGTTTTTTTTGTGATTTTCATGAATTTTTCAGATTTCAGATTTTTCAGAACTGGTAGAAAAGTTGTCATGAGCCAAAAAAAATGTATTGAACTGCATAAAAATTATATTTATAATACTTATAATACTTCTATTGCCAACGACATAATGTACTATTTTTCCCCGACTTTTTCATGAAAATACTTTAAAATGTTGTCAAATAAAAATAAGCATTTTCATCACTTGTGCGTAAAGTTCAAGAGCGCGCGTTAAGTGCCGTGCGGAAAACAACCGCTTTACGCACACTAAACCGTTTCGAAAAGTGCACTTTTGAGGTAGGTAACACAAAATAGTATTTACGCACTCATATCTAAATAAATACACTATAAAAATTCAAAGAAAACCGAACAAACGTAATTCTTTCATTACCCTTAACTGCTCATGAAAATGATATCACAAAATCGCCAAATCTCATATGAATGGGTCTACGCAAATCGCACCACAAAATACAAAAAATGCATTAAATCCCATTGGATTAATTGCATATACTTCACATCTATTTTCACCTAAGTTTGAAAATATAGCTATTCCCACTGGAACATATATTCCTTCTGGGACACGACTATAAAACACCCAACAATCCTATTTCTGCCTGGTGAATTCGGCAACTGTCTGGTAGAATTGGTAGAGTTCGATCAAACTTGCTTTCATTTTCATCCGGAGATCAGGAAACACGAGAGGCCAGTGGGAGCAGAGAACAGCGCTCTGGATATCGGGGAGTTTTTTTTTTCAACGGTGGGATTCTGTTGGGAGAATGTACTAGATTTGGTCAGACGTTTCAAAATGTATCAGGAGGGGATAATTCGGGGGAGATGGTGAGGAACTCATAATATTTCCTTATGTATACTATTTTACTGTGAGTTTAGTGGATTCCGGGGACGTTTGTTCACAGATATTAGATGAGGGTCTTGTAAAATTCTTATTTTTCCGTGCGCGGTATTAGGGGAGCAGGACAGGGGCGCGGTAGGATTTTTTTGCGGCGAGTGCTTTCTTGTGATATTGATCGAGTGTCGAACATGTTTTCATCGGGAGATATCTGTGGGGGAAGCATTGTGCCAGAAAAATCTGCGTTTATTGAATTTAATTTGAAAATCCTATCTCTCTTTGGGTAAATGCTCTCGTAATTTCAGGCGCAAGTTCATCTTATGTTAACAATTTTATTGGGACCTCAAAATTAAAAATTTAAAATATTTTGTGATGCAAAAATGTTGAAAGTAGGGTAAGCTATCCAGTAGATGGACACTGCCCTGTAGATGGACGAGCTACTTTTGGATAGGAAATTACGCAAAAAAATGCTGAACTGTGAATTGTTGCTTTGAATTTTCACTAACTGTTGCAATTTGAATCCCATGAATGGCGGTTTTTTTAAACAATTTTGTTTTTTCAATTGCTAAAAAACAAACGTCCATCTACTGGACACTGATGTTATCAATGATGAATTATTTGATAAGGAATTGCCGTATCCAATGCAGGCATCAAGAGTCCGCAATTCGTTATTGACAATTCTCTCCCCAGAAATTCTTGATTCCAAGTTCTGCGTGAATTTAGTGTCTGATCGTGCCCCAAAGTCACAAGACGGTCTTGTAAATTCTTCTTTTTACCGTGCGGGCTATCGGGAGAGCATGCGAGACTGCGTAGTCTCGAAATTTATGATTTCTCAGGGTAAGAATCTCTGGTTTTGAGATTAGCGAGGGGATCATACCGTCAAGACAGTCGTGTAAAACTCCTCTTTCCCGTGTTCTGTACCAGGAGAGCATGAGACAGATCGGGTGGATCAGAAATTTATGAGAACGTGTGACAAAATTTAATGGAAACATCTAGGGTTTTCAAGGAGAAATCTTTAGGACATTCTATCGGAATTCTAATAACAAATTGTATTTGTTTTTGGGTTTTGCTCCAATTCTGTAGAAAATCGTGCAACTTTATCCCGGAATTTTGTTTTGAGATATTTCGTAAAAAAGTCAATAGATTGAGATTTTTCTCATAATAAAATCCAAGAAAGAACAACTTGGGAAATTCTTGGTCGAGAATTTTCACAGAAATAATCACAAAATCGAATGAGTTATATGGAATCCCAATAGAAATTGAATAGAATGTCTCAGAGAAAGCGCTGGAATTTTCTATGAAATCTTTTCGTCATGGGATCTAAGATAATCACTTAAATGGAAATATGATGGCTTCCACAGCTTCAAGAATGTTTTAATTAGTAGAAAAAAATTATTTGAAGTGAAAATAATGCAGCCCAAACCCCTAATTTCTCGACGACTGGGCCATATTTTTTTTTCTACTTATTAAATGCCCATTAATAGAAAAAACAAATGATCACATGATTTCACACGAGTAATATTATTGAAACGTGAAATAATCAGTACAATTTTCATTTTAGTTATAGAATATGCAACGCAAATTGAAATCGTCGAGAAATTGATCTGTTTACCCTTCCGTCCCGATATTCACTGTTGAAATTCAGTAGCGAAGTGGTACAGCGGTTTAAGTCGATTCATCTCCCAGTTGAGTTTTTGAGGAATATTTCTGAATAGAAGAGAGATAGCGAAATTTTCGTAATTACGTTTGTTGTAGCCCTCAATCGGCTCTACAAAAAAGTATATAACAAAAAATTTGCTATTTTCCTTAGATTCCGAGATATTCATTGAAAACTGGCCAATAGTCAAAATTGACTTGAACCGTTTTACCACTTCGCTACTGACTTATAAGACGGTCTTGTAGAATCCGTCTTTTCCCGTGTACCATACCGGGAGAACATGAAGGGAGCATGGAATTCGGCTCCACTTTGAGTCGAGTGAGCTCATCGCAACTCGTGCATTCATATTACAATACGGCCCTATACGATCCTTCTCTTTCCCGTGCATCGTACCGGGAGACCATGAGAACGCTACAGTATCTCGGAAGCTCATGAATTTCGATTCCCGAATGATCAGTCAAAAAATCAATTCATGAACTGAATTCAATTAATGGATTTTTCTCTGAGTTATGAACACTTAAGGGTCATAATTGCCATGAGTTTCCATATTGCCTCGTTCTGCCCTAGATAATGTAATGAAAATTGTACTGATTATTTCAATTTTAAATAATAATTTTAATTAGTAAATCAGTCATGTTTACGCGGGCGATAATTTTATTTTTTCCTCGGAATATCAATAATTCAAATGATTTTTTCCGAACCGTCTACATATTGGCCTGTTTCCCCTAGAGTGTATTTTAAATGTACCAGACGGCATCGTAAAGTTGGTCTCTTTCCCGTGCATAATACCAGGAGCGCATGAGAGACAATGAAAATCAGGTCTGAATCCACGATTGCTCATGGGAAAAATCTTCCATTCCTAGTTCAGTGAATTTAGACTACAATTGTAACTTGAAATTACAAGACGGTATTGTAAAATTCCAAACTTTACCGTGGGACGAAGCAGGAGAATATGAAAGAGATGGGGCAATCTGAAATTGACGATATTCCATTATCAAAACACTTCATTTCGAGTTCGATAATCCTATCCTACTGGTCGCCCTTATAGAGTTCCATTATTTATTGATGAAAACAGAATGTTCCGAAGATATACGAATATGTTTCAGAATGTAATTTGAACGGTGCCAATTGGATAGGATTTTTTTAAAAATTTTCTGACTCGATTTATTTGGAAAATGCGAAGACTGGAAACATTCGAATGATAAGAGTAATGAGTAATTTCAACGCTGAACTTGAGTAATTTAGGTCACAAGTGTACTCTGAAATTCTTAGTTTTACCGTGCATGAAACCAGGAGAACATGAAAGCAGTGGGGCAACCTGAAATTTACGATATCGCGCTATCAAATCAAAATCAATAATTTGGGATGCTTTGGTTGCGAATAAAAATAAAAATTTAATTTTTCCTATCGAATGTTGAAAAAAAAAATATAAATTCGATGGCCCTAATAGAAAATGACCGGGCGTTTCTTAAGGGAGTTCCATTATTAATTTATGAAAAGAGAATGTTTAGAAAAAGTACTAATATGCTCCAAAATGAAATTTGAATTATCCCAAATAGATATGAATTTTTACCAAATTTTCAGACTCGATTTGTTTGGAAAATGCGAAAATTAAAACCACTTAAATCTTGAAATAATGAGTAATTTCGAGATCGTACTAATTCACATTTAAAATTCAACGACTGAACTTCAGTACATTTTAGGTCTCAATTGTACTCTGAAATTCTCAGTTTTACCGTGCACAAAACCAGGAGAACATGAAAGCAGTGGGGTAATCTGAAATTTACGATACCTCACTATCAAATCAAAATTAATAATTTGGGACACTTTGGCTACAAATAAAGATTAATATCTAATTGTGTCCCATCGAATGTTGAGAAAAAAATTATCAATTTAAGGAAGTTCCATTATTTATTTATTCCTTTTAAAGATTGAAAAAGGAAAAGGAAAAACGAAAACGAAGGATTTAAGGAAAGGAAGGTGTCCTCAAATTAAAGAATGTATTAATAATGGTTGATAAAACCTAATTTAATTATTAATTTACGAAAAGAGAATGCTTAGAAAAACTACTAACATGATCCAAAATGTAATTTGAATTACCCCAATTAGATATGAATTTTTCCAAAATTTTCAGACTCAATTTGTTTGAAAAATACGAAAATTAAAACCATTTAAATTATAAAAGTAATGAAACTTTCAAGATCACACCAAATCACATTAGAATTCAACGACTGAACTTTAGTACATTCTAGGTCACAATTGTACTCTGAAATTCTTAGTTTTACCGTGCACCAAACCAGGACAACATGAATGAGACAGGGTCATCTGAAATTTCGAAAAGAAATCCCTCATTTCAGGCTAGCAATTCCTTTGTGCCATTGTGTTGAAACCACAGGCTAATTTCCATCCGGAAACTTCTTCTCAGCGTACATTATGGGAAATCATGATATAAATTCCGAAATAATGTACTTTGAAATCTAAAGTTCTACAAAAGAAGCCTCAATGATCAATCAGTATTCCAATATGACTATATTGGAATAAACAGGTCGATTTCTGAACGGGGGTTAATTTCTGGACAATGTTAACTTGCATTGAATATTCCATAACATAAAATGAAAATTGTACTAATTATTTCACCTTTCAATAATATTACTCGTGTATAATCATGTGATCAATTATTTTTTCAATTGATCGAGATTGAATAAATAAAAAAACTTGCACTCCCTCGAATTTTCTGGAAACTCCTTGAAGTTTTTCGAAATTTCACGAAACTTCTCGAATTACCTGGAAATGTCGTCCACAAATTCGCGATTTCAGCTGCATTGAACTATTTCTTAATTTAATTATTCTATGTCTTAGTATTTTCACTTCAAATCATTTTTTTCTGGTAATTAAAACATCCCTAAAGGTATGGAAGCCATCATATCGCCATTTAGGTGATTATTTTAGATTTTACCACGAAACTTGAATTTCCCTTAAGAGGAGACGGAACCCCTTTGTCTACATCAAATCTTAGAATTGTGTTTTCTCCTACAATTATTAATCTCTATCTATGAAATTACTTTATCGACTCGATTATCGCATTGTTGAGTCAATGAAGTAGTTTAATGAATGAAAAATAATAATTGCGGGAGAAAACACAATTCTAAAGATTCATATAAACGCAGGGGTTCCGTTTCCCCTTAACGTTTTTAATTTCCCTTAGCAATTGGCCTGTTCACCCTATGTTCATAAAACTCATGCGACCGCCTGGAGTAGCGAGATGTTATCGTTAAAGTGCTAGACAGCCTCGTAAAATGACAAGACGTGACATAAACTTGAGTAGAACACTACTAGGAGATCATGAGATGGCGCGGTGTACGACAATGATTGGGGGAAAACCTGAGTATTCACTCAAGTGCATAAAAATGTTGACGTGGCTCTGGCAGTGTATTAAATTAATTTTTCAAATCACTTAGTCGATAATGCGAAGGCTCAATACTTTGAAATTGAAGGCAAATGGCTCGTTAATTGTATACAATTATCCATTTCGCGGCTGGAAAAACTTATTGTATCGATTATCTATGGCTATAGTTAAGCACCCGTTCTATGCAAATATCCACTCGATTTGTTTATTGAGCAGAAAGAAAATTAAACAAGGCCGAGTCAAAGGTGCACTAAAACACTGGTGTCTGAAATTGAAAACCTTTTGTCCCCATTTTTATAGACGATTGTGTCCTCAAATTTAAGGATGTACACACAGAGAAATATTCAATAAAAATTACCAGAAAAAAGACGTAAAAATTACGTTTCGAAACGTAATCTGGGAGCGAAGTAAAATTCAATAAAAAGTGTCAATCGTCACGTAAATTCTACGATCTGTTCCGTAAAAATTACTCATCCGTCCGACGCCTCACGGCTAGCCATGAGTCACCGTGAGGGGGAGATTTTAACAACACATTCCGTAATTTTTCCCGAACTCTTCGTAAAAATTCTTAAACATCCAAGAATTTTCATGTTCTGAGGCACAATAAGTCTTGAAGTTTCTGTTAGATTTTACAACTTCCAGAAAAATTACGTGACTTTTTCGTATTTTTTCGGTGACAGACCCGAAAATTTACTGAACGTTTCAGATTTATTCTCTTATATTCCTATAGAAATTCACTGAAAACGATTCTCGCTTGCGGATTACGTGAAATGTTCCGTAATTTTTCTTGAATATTTCTCTCCGTGTACAGTCATCGCCGTGTGTTCGTGAATTTCGAGTGAATTCCAGTTACTTACGCCTCGCGACAGATCTCCAACAAGTCCATTCCATTTTCCACTTGGCAGTTTGTGACCGAACGAATTATCCTCTGGAATCACTAGGTCATAATCGAAATTCATTTTTTCCGATAGCTTCTGGATAAAGTCGATGCAGTAGCCTTCCCAGATGATCTTTCCATCCTTGTCTTTCATTATTTCACCAGTAACGGGATCCTTTTTCTTTGTTGTCCAGGGTAATGCCTACACCCAGAGGAATGATGTACTTGAATAAAATAAATCTCATCATTCAAAATTCTCTTATTTATCTCAACATTACTTTTATCGGAAATTGATTGATTCATGCGTTTATTACAACAGAAATATCTCAACGATATAAAACAACTAATTATTCGTTCCAAATAAATTCTCTGGATCAGGACCCCATGACCAATTTCTTTCAAATTCGTTCTTTCTGCCATGAAAACAATCATTTCATTTCCAACTAAAAAGGTCTTCAGAAAAAACTACATATTTGATGTGAATGAAAACGCAAATCGAAATCAAGTTTACGTTGTAATTGGAAGCTTCGAAACAAGCTATTTGATGGATAAATCCATCTATTTCATTTAAAGTAAATAATAGTACATTAGAGTACAAGGACACAAATTTCGTTTTCAACGAATGTGTGTACAGACCTCGCCTTCGGCTCGGCCTGTAAACTACACATTCGTTGAAACCGAAATTTATTACCAAGTGCTCTATAATATTTTCTGCCCTCCGGCCGGAAAGCGTCAACTTCCTGGCCGCTGCGCTAAACGAAGTTGCCACTTTCCGGCTACGTCGAGCAGAAAAATAGTATACACACCTTGGCCAGTAAAGTAAGGAATGTCTCAGATCACATGTAATTGTCGGCCGAGGCGAAGCCGAGGTCAACAAACATGTGATCTGAGGCTTTCTTATTTACTGGCCAAGGTGTGTAATCTACTATTTATGTCAAGTCGTGCAGAAGTCGAGTTTTGAGCAGGCTGCGCGAAGCGCAGCGTGCGATAAACTCGACTTATTGCACGGCGCGACATAAATAATTAAAGTTTGTTATCGCCAATGAGAGTTATCGATTACCTCGGCAGTTCCAACACGAAAGTACCTCTTAGCGGGCTGTATGTCCTTCCCCGGTGCTGCCACGATTCCATTCTTTTTCGTCCAATTCCCCAACATCTCCAGGTTACCTCCCTCAAGGGTTTCTAGGTTGATTTCGGCACGCATTCGAATCAGATACCGATCTTTTGAAAACTCAAAGACATCGTTATCCGATTCTATTTTCTGAATGAACGAAATAATGTGATTTATCATAATTATTTGTTTTTGGTTCTTTCATCAGATGCATGTCTTTTGAACTATCAAATCTTGAACGAATACATCATGAACAAATGATATTTTTAGAAAATCTATTTCGAAACATCTTTAAATTTAAAAAAATATGTAACAAAATAAATAAATATTTCTACATTATTTATTCGTATTACTATTATTACTATTTTTATTATTATTTTTTTGTAAATATTTATAACAGTTTAAATATTTAAATATCTTTAAATTGTTTAGACCATCGAAATAGCTTGAAAGGGGGTAATCTTCACGATTGTTCATGGAAAGAATAATGTTAGTCATAGTATCATATTAATTACTGGTGTATGAGCTGAAATGTTATTTTGAAATGAGTTACGTTTATCTATTGGAATGCAAAATTAATTGAAATGTCGTGTAGTTGAAAAGACGCAACACACACGGAGAGAAATATTCAAGAAAAATTACGGAACATTTCACGTAATCCGCAAGCGAGAATCGTTTTCAGTGAATTTCTATAGGAATATAAGAGAATAAATCTGAAACGTTCAGTAAATTTTCGGGTCTGTCACCGAAAAAATACGAAAAAGTCACATAATTTTTCTGGAAGTTGTAAAATCTAACAGAAACTTCAAGACTTATTGTGCATCAGAACATGAAAATTCTTGGATGTTTAAGAATTTTTACAAAAAGTTCCGGAAAAATTACGGACCGTGTTGTTAAAATCTCCTCCTCCTCACGGTGACTCATGGCTAGCCGTGAGGCGTCGGACGGATGAGTAACTTTTACGGAACAGATCGTAGAATTTACGTGACGATTGACACTTTTTATTGAATTTTACTTCGCTCCCAGATTACGTTTCGGAACGTAATTTTTACGTCTTTTTTCTGGTAATTTTTATTGAATATTTCTCTCCGTGCACGGAGAGAAATGTTCAGTAAAAATTACGGAACTCACAGTTCGCTCACCAATGACGGAATCGACTCAGAAAATTTAAGTGACGGTATCGTAATTTTTCACAGGAGATTCAGGTAAAAATTACGGAACGCTCTGGAAAAATTCCGTGACAGTTCCATAAAATTTCCTACAACCACATTTTGTTCCGGAATTACGGAAAAGATACGTAATTTTTATTGAATATTTCTCTCCGTGCACCTTTTGATCATTATGATTATCTTCATGAAAGTAATGAACTCACAGTGGTCAAAGTTGTGTAGAATGTCCAGAGGGTAGCATTCTTCTCAGGATCTATCGTAGGACTTTCATCTGTAGTTATACACTGACCCTTTATGGGCTCCACATCAATGCCTGATTTTTGGATTTGGGTGATTGTGGAAACCAGCAGAAAAATCAATCTCTCGAAGAATTTTGGGAAAATCTGAGTGGTAATTTTTCCTTAATTCTTTTATATACGAAAGAGACACGCGAAAAGAGAGCGGAGAATAAATCCTATCCGAAATGATTTCTACAAAAAATTCGTCAACTTGTGCGAGGTTTTTAGGCAAACAATCGCAAAAAATATTTCACAGGAAAGAATCAATCGATTGCGATTTTCCTATTTCATCTATTCTGTTGATATTTGATAGATGAAAACAAAATTGTGCATAAAATTTATGTCCATGGTCTTCAATAAAAATATAATAATACCGAACACAATACTACACTGAGAGAAAAACGACAAAGTTCTCAAACAAGTCTTACTTGTGCCAAGAAAATAGCTTTTTGAAAATGATCAAAAAAGGATTTTTGTGTGCCAAACGTGCAGAGAGTGCGCCGGAATGAAAAATTATTGTCGCAAGAATAGATTTAGTAGTTAAAAAAAAATTGCATTCTCTGTACACGCAAGAAATGTCATTTCTTGCACTACTTCTTCGTTATTCGATACTCCCATACGTATTTTACTCCCGAAAAATCTTTGTTTTATGCGAAACAAGGGATAGTAGTTTTTCGTTTCGACTGTCTAATAATCACAAACAAGAAATGAACCCTTAAATGACACAATAATAATGATATGATAGCAATCTTGTAACTTGGAGATAAAATATTTGTTAATAAATTTTCCTCTATATGAGATATTTTCATCCTGAAAAGGCACCGTCTGGTGTGAATTATCCGCCTCTTGAGCCAAATATTTCGTTGCTGTCGAAAGCAGAACAATTATTCATGTTTGAGACTCACAAATTCGAACCAAACAAATTCTTTTTTGGCAATTTTCAACTAGCGATTTTGTTGGCCTACACAAGACTTGTTTGACAACGTGTGTGTCTTTCTCTCGGTGCACGGACTTCAATAAAAATAATACCGAATACAACATTAGAATGCAAAATATCTAAATTTATCAATTTTTTCGGCCATATAATTTTAATAAATTTTTTAATTCCGAATTTTGCATTCAAATCGACAAAAAACTAATAAATTTTCCAATAGAAGTTCCGTACGAATTCTGTTTATTTTCTTTCACATGTGGAAATATTTTCGTATGAAAAATATTCGGTTATTGGCTGAAGGCCCTCGGGCGACGGCCTATCATAAGAAAATTATTTTTCATGTATTTTTTTGGAATAAATTTCGTTAAAAATTATAAAATTAATTAATTAATTATTCAATTATGAATTGCTGCATCGTCTCTTCCAGAAATTATTCCGTTCTCTATACCCATTTTCTTCTTCATTCATGGTGAATATTTGAATGAATATGAAAATGTACCTTTATCATAATTACGAAAAGAATGAACTGAAACCGCGCGATATAAATGCACTTTCTGCTTTTAATTCAGTCACACACAGAATTTCATGAAACCCAACACTTACTTCAAAATTATGTGGACAAGTGCACGGATATTCCCTAATCAGCCTACAACAAACACTCGGATTCATCGATAGAATTCCCACCATCGTGTTCAACGTATCTGGACCCGCAATGTAAGGAAATTCCCTGTATTTCATATCCGTGAACACAAGATTCCAGATGCCATGTCGCTTCACCAATCCTCCACTCATGGCCTTGAATTATAACAGCAGTTTTATTTCAACGCATTTCACCATGTCATCTTGAATAACAATAATTATCTACCGTTTTGAAGAGACTTTCCATCTTAGCGGTGCTGGAATAAATTGCATAATACGAGGGTGACGGTCTCATTAATCGTATCCTAGCGACTGTCACCTCGGACAAATCGTCAATGACGACTAATCGTATTATCGAGTTACCGATGAGATAATAAAGTGACTCGTTCAGCTCTGCAATTGATGCGTCATCTCAATAATCTTGGAAATATTGGTGGACGATTCCACGAATGCAAACATCGACACAAGTTGTTTCCTTCTAAATTTATAATCTTGATTTCTTGTCTGATTCCGATAATATGAGTAAATGGAACAAAATGAGACAGAAGGAGTTTTTCAATTCATTTTTTGAGACGGTGTCAATTTTTGCAAATGGATTAATCGGGCGTTGTTATTACGGGAAAGGCCTGTATTTTCTCTGAACATATTGCTCAACTTTATTTCTTCCATTTCATTTTCATTGAAAAATTCAGAAAAGTATCGATCGAAATCTGTTTTACAATTTTTCTACAGCTTTTTTCCGCTTCAATTTGAGGAAATTAAATAAAAAGTGTAAATCAGAGTTTTCACTTTACAACAGGAAAATTTAAAAACTCAGAAAAAGATGGTGAACACCTCTACATTTACATCTGAAATGTTCTATGGCCCTTCGTCACCGAAAGCGTTTAAAAAAAACTGGTCAATATTTTTATCCGAAAATTCAGATCTTTTTCAAAAAAATCATGCCTAATTAATCACTATGTGTTTTCAAAATTGAGTAGAAAATTTTCAATCCAGTTGGCAAAAAATTGGAAAGTCTATTTTTTATTATTTATTATTTTTTATCAGTATTATTAACTGAGCGCTCATTTTGTTCCATTTCATGTTATCGAAATGGCCGGAACAATGTGCGCTGATATTTGATGAAATCACACTGGTTAACCCTAGATTGGTCACCATATGAGGGAACTCCGCAGCGCGTTGTTTTCCTTAATTGGAAAAATTCTACGTTAGGCTTTTTCAATTGAAGTGTCTAAAAAATTACAGTAGTTTTTACCAAAACATAATTCCCGAAATTCAATTAAAAAAAAAATTATTTCCAACTGATGAATTATTTTTTCTGGTGTTAAATGAAATTCCGCGTTACGCGGCGTTGCCGGAAACTCGCTAAACGCGACCGGCCAGTGCAGAGTGAATTCTGCAACGCTGGCGCCTAAAAAACGCGGCGGTGAATCCCCGTGGCGGTGAGCATGCCGCAGGATCGCGTATGGTGACCAGACTAAAGTTAATTTGCTTTCCTGAAATGATTCATGAACAGACCTCGTGTATTCTCGAATATCAACGCAACGTCTGTCGCATTTTTCTTCAGAAGCAAGTCATCAATGGCTTGAACGTAGGGGATAATTGAGCCACCTGTTCTCAAATAGAGAATCGAATTATTGTGAGCTAGAGCCTGCAGCCTATCCCACCCGGTGTACGTGATATCCAACACCAGGGTGATGCCGTCGAAGAGTACAGCGCACACTGGAACATTGTAATCCGGGGTAAACAGCTGCATTGAGGGGGGCATCGTCAAATGGCTCAATTGGACAGATAAAGAGGGTCAGAAATCAATTCGAATCAATTTGATCAACACATTTAGCAATCCCCATCACTTCTGTCTTCTCTGATTTCATGAATTAGGCCAGTGGGTTCTTCGTTGGGCTCTTCATGTCACAAGTTCGTTGAGGCGACGAAAATTTAATTTTCTTGTTTACTGAGTTTAGAGTTCAATCTTATCATGTGGAGATGCTCCGAGGTTCATGTTTATATGAGCTTTTGATGGAATAAACTTCGAAGACACAATTTCATCAGAATTAATTTCCGCGAAATTAATTGTTTATGCAATTTATTAAAAATCTGCTTCTTTCATGTTCAAGGAAAATTCTGGAATTTGTTAGACTAGTGAGAGCACATACAAAACCCAAATTTCTGATAATTAGGAAAAATTAGGAATTACGTGAACAAATTTGGTATTATGTACGAATTTTTGTGGGATTTATTTTTAAATTGATATTTCACTAATTGTAAATTTCCAAAAATGAAAACAAAAATAGAGGAAAATGGAACAAAATATAATGAATCTAATTGCTCGGTGCATATTGTCCACCTGATTTCTGAATATTCAACTCATAATGGTGGATTAAAATTTTTATTAAACATGAAGAAGATAAATGTGTCTATCAGTTGAAAATAATTCCAATGCTGAACTTCAATTTTCGAGAGAATATTGACACAAATGTGGAGGTAAATTTTTTTCTATTGATGAATTCAGTCGTCCCATCTTCTCTGATAATAAGAGAAGGGAGTTGCTTGTTTTTAAGTGGACATTAATTTTTTTTAATTATTCGTTGAATAATAATAATAATTTAATCATTTTCATCCGTCAAATGAACAATTATTGGGGATGCTGTCGCAGAGAGAAATTCGTGCCATTTTTAATCGTCGTGGGATATTGGAGTGAGATTTCTCATGCATTGAATAACGATGATATATGTCTAAAAACGAACAATTAGCGCAAAAAAATTAATTGTTTATTGTTCGTTTGCCCCGCAGACGCTTAAAATGTTAAAAATAGTTCGGGGCCTCCAATTTTTGAGCTACAGAGGTTTTTTTTTTTCAAAATTTTTGAAAAACTGTGTACAATAACATTACGAATTAATTTTTTGACATTCGACTCCTACACAGCTAATTTCGTTTTGTTTAATATAAAAATTGGCGCCATTCATGTAAAGTAGGCAGAAAAATTATGCTTGAAATATTGAAAATATATAATCGATTCTTTAAAAAATATTATTCCGGCGATTTTACATGAATGGTGCAATTTTTTATTAAAATAATAACGAAATTAGCGGTGTAGGAGTTGAATTTCAAAGAATTAATCCTTAATTATTATTGCACATATTTTTCTAAAAATTAAAAAAAAAAACCCTCTGTAGCTCAAAAATTGGAGGTCTTGGACTATTTTCAACATTTTAAGCGTTAGCGGGGTAAACGACAAAAAACAATTGGTTTTTTTGCACTAATTATTCTTTTTTAGACTATATAATCGATCTCCAATGTATGAGAAATCTCGTTTCAATAGCGCGCGACTTTTAAAACTCAGTAGCCTCCCGTTAAAAATCTCATCTCCGACAGTAAGAGCAACGTGGCGACGAAATATCGAGACCGACGCACTAAATCCCACAAGGCTCCCGCAAAATTCTTCTTTTCCCGTGCGACGTATCAGGAGAGCATGACAAACGAAGCGGTCGGAAATCAATAAGCGCCGGGTATAATAATCTGGTCCACCGAATTTAGTGTACGTTTGTACATCAGAATTACGGAACTGTCTTGCAAAATTAGTATTTTACCGTGCACGTAATCAGGAGAACACGAGATGAGTGAAATTCCCGGGATCTCCATGTTCTGAAATATTCTATTCTCACTAGAGTAAATTTAGTGCACGTTTGTATACTAAAATCACAAGAATGGTCGTGTAAAATTCGTATTTTACCGTGCGCGGTATCAGGGGAGCAGGAGGATGATGAAATGTTTTGGATGAATCGTTTATTTCCTCGGCCAAGAGGGGATCTAATGGTGAATCAATCTATTATACCGTTGGTCCCTGGAATTACAAGACTGTCTTGTAAAATTCGTATTTTTCCGTGTTCAGTATCGGGAGAACATGAAGTCGAGTGGGGAGTACTCGAAATGCATAATTCACTAGGGCCAACACTCACGTGGACCCAACGGAAAGCTAACCGCCGACATTTGTGGATTCGAATCGGTTAAGGTTTTAAGGATATCCAAGTAACTTACAGTTTGGTACAGATCACACGATAGATTCAACCATTTTTAATCATCAAATTTGTCAATTGAATTGCGTGATAAAAGTTTGAAAAAAAAAAGAATATTCAGCGTCACTCGAATTACATTTTGCACAGAATTTATTATTTTTTAAACATTCGTTGTTTATCAATAAATAATTGAAATTGCTTAAACTTAAGGAAACGTTGTTTTTTTAGGCATGAAATCGATTTCTGATAAAATTACGAATATGAATAAATTTGTTGCGATTCCGAACAAATCGAATCACCATGCTCAACCTCGGAGCATACAGCCTCCTCGGAAAATCTTTCCTAGGTTTTTTATGATTTTTATGGTGGAAAATTAATTGTTTATAAATTATTTGTAGAAAATGCTCGTAATTTTTTAAAATTGCACTTTTTAAATTATTTCATCAATCTTTCTCCAAAAGTAAACTTTCTAATTTTTTTTCCGATTTTTAAAATATTTTCTAACGGTTCAATATCGAGATTCAAGTTCAAACCTGCAAAGTTTGAATAATACAATCATTGCAAAATGTTCGGAAAGTTAGGGTCAAATGAGGCTCAACTAAAAGCTCTTATGTTCTTCGCTGGAGAAAAAATAGCCAAAGTACTTGGATATCCTTAATCCGAACATTCCTAGATTTATAAAAATTAGTAGATAAAGAAAATAAAGTTTGCAAGACTGGAAAATCGCAAACCGTAATCGCAAACATTTCTTTCCTACACACGTAAGGAAAAAGTTAGTAGAAGAACTAGCACTTCCTCTGGAAAATTTTATGTTTTTTGCACTAATTTTATTAAAAATTACGTAATTTTGCCGGGCGTATTTCAAGCCATTTTTGTTCATACCGGAAAAATCATTCTGTTGAGGTTCTTCTATAAGAATTCTTAGATATAAATTTTCTGACGAGAAACAAAAAATATAGCGAGAGAAACTTGGAAAATTAATGCCTGAGAATTTGCTAAGAAAGAAATCTCACAAGAATAATTATTTATATTAAAATCCAAATATGTAAACAAAAAAAAGTGGGCTCGCGAATCGGTTAACTTGACACTGTTAAGAATGAGAATAATTCACAAGAATAATTATTCTGGAAGAATAAAAATCTATTCAATTTTTTCTATCAAATATCTATCCAACGATTCGAGTTTCACGTTTCGAACATTTAATTAGACTTTGAACTAATTAGAAACGCTGAAATTTTCGTAATTTCTGCGAAACTTCAACATCAAACAAAAAAAAGGTTTTTTCTTGAATCCGTCCAAGAATGGGCTTCAATTTTCCACCACCTGATTCTCCTTCAAAAAAATTAACGAAGAACGAAGGATATTTCTACCTTGCTGGAAGCTCCCCTCAACATTGTGCCGATCAACTTGCACAGACTTGACATCCACACTAACTTTCTCACTCTCGTGTGCTTTCTCAGCAGCTGGTATGACATCGTTAAGCAGCTTCAGGACGCCGTCGTCTAAGTTTTCCACGACAACCACTGGAGTCCGAGAAAACCGAAAAGGGAAATAATTAAAGAAGTTATGATTCATTGAAATAACTCTGAGAATTCATAAAGTTCCAACAAAAAAACGTTCAAATCGATTCGATTAACCGACAAATTGCAAATGAAGGGATTTAATTAATTCGAAAGTGTCACGTACGAAAAAAGTTCATTAAAAAACCTAGCGGATTTGCTTGAAAATTCTATTGAATTTCTATTAAACTTTCCATTAATTTTGGATGTTGTTCAATGGAAATGTTGAATAGAAAATTCTCAATAGAATTCGACTTCTCCATACAACTTATTCTATGAAGATATTTTTTATACGAAATTCTCGGCTCAAATTTCCCAATTTTTTCCGTTTGATTTCTTTGATCAAAAGAGAAAAAATAGTGGAAAAAAATTGGAAAATTCATGTCGAAGGATTTCTACAGAAAACGTTTCAACATGAAAAATTATAGCGACAGATGAAATTTGAAAGACGAATTTTTCTATAGAATATATTCTATTGGCCATTTTTTATAAAAAACGCAGAATAAACCTGCGGAATTCTTTAACAGAATCTGCCAAAAACTAATAGAATTATCAATAGAAGTTCAGCAGAAATCCAACAGAATTTTCCATCAAATTCTATGGATGAAGCAATTTAATGGAAAAACCTAGCGATTTTTTTTTATTGTTATTTTACATCGCTCCGACTCGGTTGAGTATATTGCGATGATGATCAAGACTTTAAAATGGTGAGATCTCACCATTTTACCCGACCAGGATTTGAACTCGAATTCGTTAGACAATTCTATTGGATTTCTATTGAACTTTCCAGTAGTTTTAGCCGATTCTATGGCAATATTCAACAGAAAATATTCTATAGAAAAGTCTAAAGAATTCGATTTTTCTATACAACTTATTCTATTGAGACATTTTCTAAAGAATTTCCTCGACTCAAAATTTCCAAGTTTTTTTGCTCGATTTTCTTGATGAGAAGAAAAGAAAAATAGAATTCTCTAGAAAATATCTGCAGAGAATAAGTTACACAGAAAAATCGAATTCTATTGCTTTTTTCAATTGAATATTTTCTATTGAACCTTTCCATAGAAATCCAACAAAATTTGCTAGACTTTTTATTTAATTTTTTACACTGTCACTTCTCCGGGTGCAGGATTTGACTATAATCAATTGAAAAACTTACAGAGTTTGATCTGAGACTGCGACTCGGCGCAATAACTGAAGAAACTCAGTGCAATTGCAGTGACAACCCAGAGGTTGAGCATGGTAATGCATCGATGAGCCTATCGACGAATGTAACTCTATGTCTTCTGTATCCACCTGATGCGGTGAGCCAGGAGACAGCCAGGAGGCTCACGCCTGCGCCCCCTGGAAGCCCTGGCATATCTACGTGTACAAAGGCATGTGAATAATTAATCGGCCCATCGAATCATTCTTTCAGGCTTCACGTATGTCAGTTTAAGTGGAACCCCTCGATAACGCCCAAATCCTCGATTATTCCTTTTCCACTTCCTGCTTATGACATTACAGCGCCATTCTCACCCTGCCATGGCGTATGCCGAATTTATATTGTAATCGCGTCTGTGATGACGAACCGGTCAATAATCATGATTGTAACTACGGTTTCCCCTCTGTTTTCACACAATACATATTTATATATTGATCGGTATGGATTTTTCATGCTGTTTGGTATTCTTCGATTATTGTTGTCTTGTTTAACATGGGAATATTTACATGACGATAATTAGGTTCACGGAATTGTGGCGGAGTTATCCTCAAAATCTAGTGCCGGCACTAGAAATTTTATTGGAGAAAACGTGAATTTTTCTCCGTATTTCTGTGAAAATTTCACAGAAATCCCCAGAAATTTTACCAGAAATACCAAGAAATTTTACCTTAACAGCACTAGAATTTTTCACAGCCGGTTGATTGTGATTTTTTTCAGTACTCGTACTAGAATTTTTATAGAAAATTTCTCTCCGTGTACTTGAATCGAGTATATTTTATACCAGAATCAAGTATATGCATAAACAAACCGCTCACGTACTAGCCGGTTTCTGCTGTAGTATATGTATATGTATATCGGTGTGGAAACCTCATTGAAGAATAAAATATACTTGATTCAAGTATATTTTATACTCGAATGGGGGATGGGTGTTTCAATTCGAGGATGATCATTTCGTATCAGTCCGGGTTGTACTAAGCGCTCTCAAGTGTAATATAAGGGTCAGATACTAAGTGTGAGAATATAAGGGTAAAAAAATGAGGCCCTGAATGTAAAGGTAAAGGAATGAGGGTCAGAATGTCAGGGTTAAAAAAGAGGATGTCAGGCAATGAGGGTCATATAAGGGCTAAAAACGGTGATCAAGCATAATATAAGACTTATATTCTGACCCGAATGTCTTGACCCTAATATTCTGAGCCTCATTTTTTAACCTCCACTTTTTGACCCTTAGTGCCTGACCCTTATCTTACAGTTAAGAGGGGTTGCTGCAACCCGGCCTGATTCAAAAAAATCATCTTCAAATTGAAATACCCATCCCCCCATTCAGTACAACATAGACTTGAATATTTTATACTCAATTCAGGTATTTTTTTTTCGGACATCAAATTTTTTTCACCGAATTTTCAGTGAAACCTTAAATTTCATGATTTTGTTCCCCTAAATTGTATTCAGTGTCACTGTACTGAAAATTAGTAGTCAACTGTCCATGATATGTAATTTTTTTTCTAACAATGTATTCATACAAATAATGGAAATTTTGTAGAATTGCGTGGAAACTATCGCCCAAACGTAAACCGCAACGAAACGGATAATATCGATTGTCAACTTCCTGTGGCTGGTATTGGCAAAGTAAAATTATGGAAGCACCCCTACTATTTGCGCTGCATTTGCCATCGTAATGCCAGTGAGCTTCTTCGTAGACTCTAATTTAACGATCGATGGTCCATAAAATACTGGCGAAAGCGTGTGTTTTATAGGCACTGAGAAACTGAAACGCGTGACTTATCTCCGATCGAATATCAGCGGTGGCGTTTATTGGGAATGGCTCATGTGGCGTTGTACCTGATGAAATGGGAAGTAAAAAGAATGGAGGAGGAACATTAAAGTTTAACAGTTAGCCCACTAAATGTGGACTTCCTCCTTCGTGTCACTGAGTTGGGCTTCAGAAACCTTGGGACATTCTCACGGGTTTCGTAAATTAATCGCAACGAGGCAGGAAATTATTGTACATTTATCTGGAATTCGATGTACCGTTTTTTTTCGTGGACTTTTCTCTCGGTTTTGTTACATTGGACTATTGTCGGGGTGCTGTTCTGGAAAAACTAGGTCTTTGTGAGTGACAACAATTGGAAATAGTTAATGATAAATATTGTTGTGTATTTGCTGTTTTGCTACCTCTCGGCTATCTTCATGTGCGATCATTTCTCTCTGTCCCGAGGGCGTGCTCATTTTATTTCCTATTCTTTTTATTTATTGCTTATTTCACCTCATTTTATTTTGATAAAATTATTCTTAATTGAAGGCGCTTTATTAATAATATTATTCATACATTGGTTTCCATAAAATGTTTACTATTTTATGGAGTTACTTATTGATTTTGAAAGGTAATTCAATTAGGTTTGGGATGAAATGTATTCCTGAAGGAATTCCTGCCAGGAATATTTAGAAAATTAATTAATAGACAACTGAACAAAGTGAATGAAAATTCCATCTTTATTGATTGTCCTGCATCCATGATCTCAATAGGATAAATTAATTTAAAAAATCAAGGTCTACGGACTTTTTTATATCAAATATTCTTTAAGAAAACCAATACAATTTCTAATAGAACTCTAATAAAATTATTATAGAGTTACAATAGAAATTTCATGAAAATTATTAGACAGAGCGCGAGGTTTGTCGATTAAATTTTTTCACATGTCCATTCATCTTTTTAAATATATTAAATCTGTTACTCATTCTTCGGCCGCCATTCACGCAGAAATGACTGAATTGATTTCAATTGTATTTTTGCTATTACATAGTTTAGGGTTTAGAATCGTCTTTAGACTGTAAATTATTGCTTAGTTTAGTATGCACCGTAAAAAGCTGTCTGGAAAATTCAAGAATATTCTCGAGTTTCGAGAATATTTTTGAGATTTTTACAAAGTTCGAGGATATGCTCGGATTTTCTAAACAATTCGAAGAAATTTCCAGGTTTTCGACAAAATTCGATAAAATCTTAAGTTTGACAAAAAATTCGGGAAAAACTCATGTATTTTCTAGAAAATTCGAAGGAATTCTGGGGTTTTGTAGAACAATTATTTTTTGTTCCAATTGAGCATTTTAATTTCAAATTCTGTTTAACTTGCTCTGTAGCCCGGCTTCACTCGGGCAGAATAAGACAAAATTGAATACCAGGATTTTTGAGAAGTTTTGCAATTAAAAAAAAATATCTCAATGTTTTAAAATTTTCTAGAATACCCCAGAAGTCAAGAAAATTTGAGGGTTTTCCAAAGAAATAGAGAATATTCTCGAATTTTCTAGAAAAGTCGAAATCATTGATTTTTATTTTATTGCAGGAATTCCCAAAAATTCTGGTGTGCAATTTCATCTCATGCTGCCCGGGCGAAGCCTGGCTATACATCTAGTCTACAATAAATCGTTCAAGAAATTGCGGAATATAAAAAATTACAGTCGATAAAAATATTCCAAGACTCTCCACTTGGAACTTCAAGTGTGAAAATGCCTCCGCGGATTTCGTCAGCGCAAAATCAGTCAACTCGATCGACAGTCCAATGCCAACCGATTCTGTTCACCATCGGTGGAGCTGAGGGGAGCCCTCCCCCCCCCGAGCTTGATTAATTTCTATGCTCGAGAAGGCTCACGAGTCGACGATGCGCAGTCACTCAGTGGATATACCATAATTCACGAGACAGTGAAAAAAAAATGAAAAGGGGAAAAATTCGAAGAGATTGCTTCGCAGATGTTTCACTTCCAAGGCGGCAGGTGAGCCGAGATGCTTCGATAACTCCCGGATATTTTTAAATGCTTCGCCGCGCGCGATTCGTTCGCGCGCCGGTGTCCACGACCTGCTACCATTATCGCTGAGATTTTTTTAGTTACTCTCTGGGATTTTGATTGAATCATTGAACATTGGAAGAACTGAGAGGGTCAATAGAACAGAATAAAACGTCAGGTTTTCTATTCATGATTTTTATTATTCAAAATAGAATTCTGGGAGCAAGTATTTCAATCATTCAAGTATTTCAATATTTTAATCTTCATTCCATTGATTAACAATTTTTTTTTCTAATCAAATAATTTTATTGGGCCCGATAAACTGCGGTTCAAGCACCCGCAATATACAATATAAAATAATATCTACTGCACCCCGATTTTCTCCCTCTGCAACACTGAGAGAAAAACATAATTCTTCTGACTATATTACATCACCATCGAATTATAGTCAAAAAGTCCTCAACAATTTTTCATGGGTAACGGTAACTATGGCCGGAGAAGTAATTACTACAATGGAATGTAGTCATTGCAACTATTTTATAGTTCTGCTCACGATAGGTTTGTCGTGGTTGCTTTTGAACTTTGGTTAGTTTAACTGCATTTTGATTTGCAAAAATTACGCTTGTGAAGTTACTATAATGTTATGTGCCACATACAAAAAAAAATCGCATCGTTCACCAAAATGCCTCAACTATTTTCTTATTATTTACAATAAGAAAATAAACTTCAGATTTTTCTCTCAGTGAATACATCCAACATAGAAATGATTCACGATCTCATCAATCGTATGACAAACAATTTCGAAGTCAACCTAAAAACACACTCAGATTCAATGATAAATAATGTCAATCCACGCCAAATTTCCAGGCGATGTCATCACTGAAGATGACTGTTCGCTTTTCCCTATTCTAGAATATAGTTCGATTTGTTCTATCACAACGTGCAAAAGTCGAGTTTGAAGTACGTTGCGCGAAGCGCCGAAATTCCGTGAAATTTTAGTAAAAGTACAATGTGATAACAATTTTCAAAAACTGTACCAGAAATTTCAGCCACAAATTTTGAAGACTGTAAATCAACAACAAAACCATCAGTCCTTATTCCCTTACTCCACAATTCTCAAAAAAAGGGATATATGAAATGAAAAAAATTGAAGTGCTCAGGATCTGAACTGGGTTGGTTTCTCACGTCTTCAAAGTCGAAGACGTTTTTCCCAATTAAATCTGAATACCCACTATTACAAAATTGGGCTGATCTTGCCATCAGTGACGAGACCACTCCTTTTTTTACAATTTCCAATCGCTGATTACAAATCCCCTTAATTTCCAAAAAAAATATTCAAAATTGACAAACCACCGAAAATCCACATTTTGTAAAAATCATCCCAAAAGTAAATCCTCCTGAAAGACGAAAGAACTCCACCTGAAGAGAATTTAAAAATCACATATTCCGACCTGATTATTGATCGATACTCTCCGTAGCTTTCCTTACCCTCCAGAAACTCCAGGTAACTACTTCCCACTTCCCCCGCGAGATGTCGCCCCTCCCCCGATTTTCCAATTCCAATCCCATTGATTCCCCCAGGTGTTCCAAGCGCCAAACCCGTAATCCCCCACAATAGTAAATAAACCCACCGCCATTTCCCCTTTCCCCAAATTCCCCTTTAATCCCTCAAATCGTATACTCGATCCCCAAATCCCCCCAAAAAATCCGTCTTCCCAAAGCTCAAAACTGCCCAAAAAATTGAAAAAAATTTGAATTTCCCAAATTCCGAAATCCTGAAGAATGATCATTGCCACCACCCCCTCCCCCCACAAAACAAAACTCCTCTCTCCCCCAAAAAAACCGAAGAATAGAATTTTATTAAAGAGAATCATGTGCTGTAATGCGGGAAGTGCGTGCATGTGCACCCACAATCCAAACCCACACATTCACCTTTCCACATACAAATCCCACACCAAACCCCATCGGTTATGTTCGTGCGCCTCCGTAGGCAGTCGTGTCCCAACGAAATGGTTGAAAGCATGGGTTGTGGGTCTCCCTACCGAGATCGCCGATTCGTCCATTCATTGGCGGGTGCCGTGTGTCCATCAGGAGTGAGTGAGACGGATTGGAAAAGTGGCGAGAAACTGCGTGACAATAACGAGTGAAAATGAGACAGAGGTAACAGACACCGGTGTGTTCCAACGTACGTCGGCCTCTGTCGGGGGCCCTCGGACCCGCCGTTGCCCGTGAGCGAAAGAGAGAAAAGTAGCCCCTCCCCCTCCGCCCC